ACTCACTTGGCATCATTAACTTGTGAGCAGCATTGGCAAAAGCCCAGCAACTCTTACTTGAAGAACAAGAAAGAGATTATGTTCTTACCCAGGTTAATGCAGCAAAAGGTTAGTGCTAGAGATTTGATGGTTTACTTTCCCCCTAATGTTTTAATGGATTGCATATGATTTTTTGTGGAAACAAAAAGGCAAATGTTAATGGTGATTTCATGTTTGTTTATGCATCTTGTTTATTTTCCTATCCCCTTTCTTTGTTGCTAGAGCATATATCGTGTATGTATCATCTGTCTTATGTGGCAGACACATTTGGTCCTTAATTAAGATGTATTTGCATTTTCCAAGTTGATATGAGAATTGCTACTTCTGTAGCCACATTTGAAGGGGTACATGCTGAAATATCCAAAAGCATGGGCATTGTGTTTTCTATGTTTATTGTCCTCTGCATGCTGAATTAGTGCATTCCTGATGTTGAATTTCAGCATATCTGTTCACACTGTCTATTCTTTCTTTTCTTCTTTTTTTTTTTAATTTTTCAAATTGATTTTTATGAAGAGCTTATAAATAATGTAATTGGAATTTGCAGAAGAACTTCGAGCAAAGAGAAAGAAGCAGTTGAAGAAAGATACAGCCTCCAAAATAAAGTCATTGGTTGACGAGGTCTGTGAGGTTTTAATTAAATATTTGTCATTGATTGCTTCTTGTATTTGTGCCAATGGATCATTCTTGATGTAGAATTAACATGAAATATCTTTTAGGTTGGATACTAGAGGTTTCGAGCAAATGATTAAATTACATATTCAACACCCATCTCCCCAATTTATCCCAAAAAAAAAACAGAGAAGATTTGGTAACTACAGTCACTGCAAAACTTTCTCAATTCCTTCTAGTTGTCAAACACTTAAAATGAGAGGTGTCTGTCAAGTTTTACTTGGCAGTAGAAAATCTGAAGAGTTATTGATCAAAGCCAGAAACTTGTGGGTAGCTCTTGTGATTTTGCTATGCCCTAGGCAATGTTGAGCATTTACCTTAAATAAAATGCTACTAAAAAAAATGTTATCATTGTTGCTAAAGTTTCTCAAGGTAAAACAATACTTGTAGAGAATAAACAATGATTGCCTTAGCTTCAAAAAAGAGAATTGACAGTGGTTTTGCAAATTACTTATTTCAAAAATCAAAAGCTAAAAATTTACATGCAATCAATATCTTTTTTAGTGTGGAATTTGTGTTGCTGGTATTCATTTGAGTGCTGATTCTCATCTTACCATATTGTCTTCCTTACTCCCCCTTCCATCTCTTAGACCTAAAGTGTTACCTGTATTGTTTATTGCCATTTTGAAGTCAAATTGAGTGAAATTTTTTTCTCAAATCGACATTTACTGAATTCTTTGTGAATATACTGAAGAAAATTTCTATCTGATAGTTTCATTAATCTTGATTTAGCATCCTTTACTTTTAATTATTTTGCCATGTTTGTTTGGAGTTCCTGGTACCTATTGAAGGATTTATGTTTTTTGGTTCAAAGAAAGTAGTTACTGCACTGGCATTTGTTGTCAACCACAACTTGCCCATCTATGGAACCGAGCCTCTATTTTCTCCTTTTATTTTGAGGGTCATATGTTGAATTCTTTCCTCTTATGTGAACAGGGAAAATATGATCAACAATATGAACAATCAGAGGAGTTCCAGCGGGAGCTCAAATTGAAGGTTCGAGAAATATTAACCGACCAAGAATGGCGGAGGAGGAAAATGCAGATGAGGGTATGTTGAAAGATCAGTTATTTTCTCCTTTGCTACCTGTGTTCTTGTTTAAAGTTGTGCATTTTCATGATCCTCTTTCTTGTCATTTAGATATCAGAAGAGGAAGGTAGATTGAAGAAGGATGAAGAAGAACAAAAGGAGATGTGGAAAAGAAAGCGTGAGCATGAGGAGCAGTGGGAAGGAACAAGAGAAAAGAGGGTTTGTTCTACTTTTTTTTTTCCAAGTTTAATTTCCTTTGGCGAACCTTTGAAACTTATGAGTTTAAACTTTATTTCCTTGATTATATGCTTGTTCAATTTTCCAATGCCTAAGGGTTACAATATCTGATAGATCCAAGCTCTTGACAAATATTGTTCAACAAGTGCATGAATTGTAATGTCTTGTTGCATATAAAATTTGAATTCATATTTCTAAGCTGTTGTTTTGTATCATTGCGGTTTTCTATTATTTTTTGTAAAAAAAAAAGAAAGAAATAAAGAAATAAAACAAGTTTGGTGGTATTATTGTCTTTATTTATTTATATATTTAATTTTCATGAACTATTTTGAAAATGAAAACAGGTTTTCTAGACAACAAAAGGTGATTTTCTGTTTGGATTTTTCATATATAAGATATCATCCCCTCCATTCTTTTCTCTTGTCTTTTGAAAATCTCCCCATGTCATTTTTACTACATACTAATCAGGAGAGTAAAATGTTTAGAGCTTTTCCGATCGAATAATTTTGATAGCAACTTTCTATAAAATTCACTTGGTAGCTGGTAGATCTACTCATGAAAGAAAATTGAAAAGGTTGATTAACTTTTATACTGTAAAACTGGATGTGGATGGGCATAGGTGATAAGGTCCTCCAGTTGTTAGATCAAAGGAGTGAAAATAAGATGCGATTTGGCATGTTGTGGTTCCTGCGAAGATCATCACTTTTACCCATTTAAATGATGCTTCCGGCCATCTTAAAATACCTCTCTATTCTGTTCCTTTCACCATTAAAACTTAGTTTACGAGGCATACCATGGCCATTAGAGATGAGAAAGGGGCTATGCAGTTTGTTATTCATGCTCATCTTCATGTCTTAGTCTACGTCCATATTTAAACCACATCAGCAGCAAATTTACAATGATTCATTTTGAAGTCTTAGAACTCAAATACAAAATATCAGAAATTTGCAGTTTCCCTGGTTGATGAGTGGATGTTTATGATATCTACATGCAGTCGTGCACACCACTGCTTTTGTTGTTGTCTTCCTTGTGTATACTTTGAATCACATTTTTTATTATTTTCCTTCTGCCTTCCCTCAAAGTAGAATGGTATATATATTGAGAAGTGTTTGCTCTGCCAATTAGAGATTTTTAGCTTTACATCATTATGTAGCATCACTTTGATTATTATTGCCATTGTTGGTCATCATCAGGTTTCAAGCTGGAGAGATTTTATGAAGACAGGAAAGAAGGTGAGACTATATACTGATTTTGCTGAGCGTAGATGAGAAACAGTTTCTACTATTTTTTTCAAGTAAGCAATAAAACCAGGGGTGAAACTTTGTTTCCTTTTAATTTGTTTGCAGGGAAAAAAGGGAGAGATTCGACCACCTAAACTCAAGACCGAGGATCCCAACAAGTCTTATGTTCAAAGGCCAGTAAAGCGAGGTTAATTGGCATGATATCGTCTACTCTTGATAGCTGTGACATTAACAACAGAGTTTCCTGGGAGTTGAAGGAAGCTCTGGAAGGAGGTTTAAAATTGTATCAGTCCAAGTCGTGCCTGTATAAAGGACACGATTATAGTGGATAATAGGGTTTCGCGGAGCATTGTCTTATGCCTTCAGTTGAAACCAAATCCTCGGTCAGGCTTTTCAGATCTCGATTGTCAGAGGATAAAATTACGGACACAATATATCACTTTACTGATTTTAGAAGGCTAAATGGTTAGCTATTAATGTATTTTAGTTTCCCTTGAGCATATGAAACATGTGCCAGGCGTATGCTTATCTTCTTTGTGTGCTGTGAATATTAGAATTATTACGGTATTTGTGTGAAATTACAATTATTGCGGCATTTGCTTGACTTGACGAAACAACGCTGGTAATGTGGATGTGGAACACTATGCTTGAAAATCTGCAATAATGGTTACCCTGAAAGATAATTATCAGAACCGCCTTTTACATGGTTATGCCTCGGGTTTTCTTTTCTTTTTAATCCTTACAATGTCAGAATTAAGTAAGATAGATTGGCATGCCAGGCTTATTTGTGACTGATCCTGCCTTATTTGAAGAGGATTACTTCATGATGAAGTTGAAAGCATGGTTTTTAAACGTAATCTGGGGAAGTCTTGGGGGTCACCCGGGTCAACTTTTTATATATACATATATATAAAGTAAAAATAATATTACTTTGAGAGAGAATAAAAAAGAGAAGTCAAATGGGTTGTTACGGGGTTACGAGTCAACTTAAGTTCTTAATCAAGTTAATTTTTATTTTTGTTGAAATCTGGTCCAGTCTAAATCTTAGGTCATGGTTCAATTTGTTGGGTTGAGTTTTAAAATGGTGGTTGACCATGATGGTAAACTTGTGTTATCAATATAGAATTATTCCTCGAAACAAGTATTTCAAGATTGTGGAAGCTATACGACCACGAGGTAAATTATGAGAGTCATGACTTGGACTGATGTAGTGTAGTAGTATATGACACGCGAGACTCGACAACCGTAAAACACATCGATCTAATACATTCAAACAAAAACACTCGCCTCTAACCAGCCCCTTGCAAGGATCATAGCTTGATCAAGGAGTCTATTTTGTCTCTGGTTGGTTTTAATGTCAGCTTAGCTTGAGTTAGTGCTGCTGCTGTTAACATGGAGTTCTCCGACGGTTGTCCTTCAGATGGCAAATTCATTGTGTCATTGTTCTTTTTTCCTCCACTTTATTTGTTTTTGTGGCCTTTTCTAACCCCTGCTGATGAATGAAATTCATGCCTTTCTATTCGTTGACGGTCATTCCGGTTGTTAGAAGAAAATCATTCCAAGCATTTACGAGTAAAAGCATGACAATGCAAAATTGGTAATTAGAGACACAGCAGGAGATAAATCAGCTGCGAGGCCACACCAACAAATGCCTCTCTGTAACTCTTTTAACAAAAATTGTTAAATAATAGAAACCAACTCCTCTCAGAAAATCCAGGCTTTACCTCTAGTTTCTTCTCTAGTTCTAGCAGCAAAAATCACCAAAGGCCAATCTCAGATTTTCGGAGACCCAAGAAGCCTCTTATCCTCACAAATTATATTGCACAAAGAGCAGAAATGAGAATTACATAACACCTCTATAATACAAAGATTTTAGACAATATATATCTCACCATCAATGTAAGGACCTCGTGCCCTCATAAACAGAATGAAAAGCAAAAATATAAAAATAAATATTAGGCCTAAAACAAGGAATGAGAAAAAAATATAAGAAAAACTAATGTGAAAATACCCAGCACTACCAACCCGTGAAAATAAACCTGGAAGACTTTCTACCTGTTTGTGGCTCAATTTACAATGGGCAAGTCATTCAGATCTGCAACCTTTAGCACAACAAAGTGAACCTAACCGCCGTGCCTGCAACCTGGTTCTCAAACTTGTGTAGCAACCATCTCAAGGCCTAGCAACTCTGCCTTAAAATCAAAAATCAGAAAGCCTAGAAATTTCTCAGGAACGGCGGTCGCAAGTGTGGGAATTCCTGGATGTGGCATCATGCTCTATACAGATGACAGAAACCCAGGGTGAATGCACAAGCTCGGAATGAGCATGTGTAAAAATCAGAAGCATCTATTATATCCAAGCAAGAGAGCCACGATCATTTGTTACTTGAGGACGGCCTCTAGTTGGTGTAGGAGGTCTGTTAGCATTCAACTCCTGTCATATAAGAAAAGCAATGGAAATCGGATTAAAGATCAGAAGTCAGCATAAACATGAAAATTTTGAAATGTAACAGCACCTGCATCCATGTATCTTCGATATGACGTTCGGGTGAAGCTTCTGGTGATGAAATTGCTGGTGGTAAAGGATGAATGTGTTGGGGACCCACCACAAGGTCTCTTCCCAAAACTAAGATTGCCCCTGCATTATTTGCAGTACCTGTAGAAATAGGCAGGAATAGAATCACTAAAACTTACTAATCATTACTCTCATGAAAATAAATAGCCAGTTAAGTTGATGAGAAAATACCACAATAATTGGTGGCTGAGAAAAGTGTAATTAAATGTCCTTGAGCAAAACGCTCGAAGCCATCCATCACACATTCATGGGCACGTACAATCAACTGAAGATCATTGTTATTGCAGAACTCCATAACACGATCAGGCTGCAAAGGACAAAAGAATATTTAATGACCATGTTAATGAACATCGCCATCATGGACATGACCACCATTGCTGAATCAAATAAACCAGCCAAATGACTACAAATCCTTGAATTGCAATTTTAAGAAGAATGAAATCCAAAAGCTCCTAATGCATCATATAGCACGAAAGGAATTTGAGAACATGGAATCAGTTCAAGCACAATCAAGTAGATAAAAATACGAACCTACTTCTGTGCTATCATTATTTTAGAAAAAGCTCTAGTACTTCAAAAAGACCATCAAGGAAAACAAGTTGCAAGGCAACAGACATATAAACCAAGGAAGCTACACTACTGTAACGAATTAAACACAAGCAATACAACTGAGCAATACAACTGATCTTACCCCAAATGTTACCAGCCCTGGACCCCTAGCATTTGGTCGCAATCCTTCCACGCTGTCATTTTCTGTTGGATCAGACCTATAGTAGAAGAGGAAAAAAATGCAATTAGACAAATAAGCAAATAGATAAGCAAATGAGAGCAATAGAGCAGAAGCACTGACCATAACAAATCCATAAGCACAATTGAACCTGCTTCCATGGTAATTGGACGTTGAAGATTCTCAATCTGTTCCACATGATTTATTGACCGACCAATACCACCATGCATACAAATGATTTTCTTCTCAATTAGTGCTGCCAAAGGAAGCCAATTGAACAATCGATTTATCCGATGCCAAACCCAAATTCCATCTCTCTCACCCTGTTCATCAAGCCATTTTTAGCTTGTAGCTAACAAGTTGTTAAGAAAGGATACAGATGTAAAATGTATATAATGCAATACCATTCGCTCAATGCACTCAATCCGGAATCCAAAAAGGGCATTGATATCTGCAGCTTCATGGTTCCCACGAATTAAATGTACATTGCTGGGATACTCAACCTACAACAGTCAAACATAATTGCAGAAAGCTCCCATCAAGATCCAAGGCAAAGTTTAAAGAGGAAATCAAAAGGAATATTTGTGGAGAAGAAACAAATATCTATCCACCCTCAGAGAGGAAGAGAAGCAGGCACGCCAATATACCTTCAGAGCAAGCAGAAGAGTTATGGTCTCCAAGCTGTGCTGGCCACGATCAACATAATCACCTAGGAACAGATAGTCGATATATCTGACAGTAATAGAATAAAATCAGCCTCCTCAAAAACTTAAGAACAAAATGTGAATCTCTGCATGTGAATGTTCATGTGAATGTCTCCAAATACATTCACGCACAAAAAGTTTACTGATACATGATAACTGAGCACTTCCAACTCCCACCCCCATTCACTACACTAATCCAAACCTCAATTCCCTCTTCCTGCCACCGCATCTTGCAGCAAACAGCCAAAAAGATCACCACTTCATAGCCTTAGACTAGCTCAACCTACAAGTCCTTATGCCCTTTCTCCTATAATTTAAAAACAAATACTCAATTTTTTTATTCTTTGTAGAGGGAATAATCAAAAGATGACCTCTCAAGGTTGGCAAATGGAAAAGAAACAGCAACCTAAAAGTTCTTTGTAGAGGGAATAATCAAAAGATAACCTCTCAAGGTTGGCAAATGGAAAAGAAAAGTCCATAAGGCATTCGAGCTCATTACAATATAAATATAGGTAGCTGTGATCCAAAAATATTTTCAGCAGCCAATTTGAAATCCAAACCAAAATTGATCCTTGACATCAAGCATTTAAACGTTGAACAGGTTAACCCATTACTTCATACAAGGATTTAGAGATTGCAAAGCAATCCTTTCACGAGGGTTTGTGTATGGAGTTCATACATCATTTGGTGCATGCGAAATTTGTTGCTTGTCCTTTTCAGTTAGGCAGGTAATAGGCGAGGATTTTTCATTTTAACAGAGGATTGCTGACAAAAAATGGTTTCAGAAGTACATTTTGAACTATTTGGCATCATAAGTTAGGGATTAGATGCGAAAGGGATCTAAATAAAAAATTCAGTGGTTGATAGTATTCATGGAGTGAAATTGTGGGAGGCCAGCTTTCTGCAAAATTGATAGGTTTCTCTGCTGGATATAGAAAAAATAAATAAATCCATCATGATCAATATTTCCAGACTTTTATCTCATTATATAGATAAATAAGCTTTGGTGACATGAATTAGCATGCATAATGTAGAAGAACCTATAAATATTCACAAAAATGCTTACGCAATGTCACCAGCAGTTGAAGGTGAACCATATTCATCAAAAAGGCGCATCAGATCCCCAAATTGCCCATGCAAATCACCAAATATCTTGATAGGAGCCTTAAGCTGTAAAACACTTGATTCACTTGAAAATATCCTTTCAGCACTGTCACAAAGATCTGCTATTTCATTGCAATCTAAGAAAAACTGCCGGCGAACTGGAGGTTTCCAACCACGAGGCTTTAAGAGATGTGCCACAACCTGATAAAATATAAAAGGACCATGCTAAGCTACAAAACAGAGAATTTGGGCAAGAAAATTAAGTCTTGGCAAGTGATTCACCTAAATGCCAAAAATCTAACAAAACTTCACCTCTTGCAACTAAAGAATCCAAGAATAGGTGCAACCCATGGACATGGAAAGCACACATCTAAAAAAATTTCATCTCTTGCAACTAAAGAACCCAAGTAAAAGGGTTAAGTTGAAAAGAGGGGGATTAAACATCAAACAAGTCTAAGGAGCATTGATTTGATTCCAAGCCATTTCCTTGATCCAATAAAAGCCAAATGACTTTGATGGATACTAGAAATTATGCTGGAAATGACACTGCAAAACAGAAGTGTCATATACTTCGAAACAACAACCAAAAGCAAATGCTTGACCATAAGGTAGTTCAGAGGGGGGCAAAGAACACACAATATTCGAAGGGATTTAGGAGAATTAAGCAGCATAGTAGTGTTCTTTTATCCTGAATATAAGATGGACATATCCTAGACCTTGGTGCTCATGTTCTAACATGGCACAACTATCCCTCAATGACAAAATAAAAAACAGAAAAAAAAAAGATATCTGGTGAAAAGGCAGAAAAGAATATTTATATGGACCTTGACACTGTAGGTTTCACGTCTATTTAAAATTTATGCCAAATAGTATATCAGTAGACAGGAAGTAGTTTATAATGTAGAGTATTCAGCTACATAAGAGAATACGTTAGTATCCAGCAACACAGATATATTATTATACTCATCTCAATTTGGAACACGTCAATGAAGCCCAAGATTAGTTAAATTGAATCTTCACTTCAATCCACAATGCATATGCCTATCTCAGCTATCAATCCACATACGCATAATCAGACATGCATTAAAGACAACCTTGGCAGTATACACACTAAAATGCCAAAGCAAGAGCATTAACAATAGCAATATTTCCAGACTATTTCAGGTCAGCAGCACAGCAAGCCCACATAGTCTACATTGTATAAAAATGTCTCTACATGAAGCATTTTCATAATCACAATGTACATGTACTTCAAATTAAGCACTGAAATACCTTTTTTGGCACACTATTGATGGACATTTGTCGATCCAGTAGTTTCCTAGCTGCCGTTGCACTCTCAGGGGTCCCATAACTTACCCGCCTGCCTTCATTTTCAAACTGATCAATTGAAAGCTGTCTGACCATGCCACCTAAAGCCCCACCAGTCTCAGCAGCTACAACAACCTGAAAGGGCAGTAGTGAAACATCAGGTATAACATCTGGTGTAAATGTGCACATTTCATACCAAAATTGAATTGAGATCGTATTTAAAAAGTTCATAAATATTTTATCCTGACAGCTCTGTGATGTAACCGAACTCCAGCAGGAGTGATGTTGTTTGATCCAGCAGAATCAGGCTTAATCAAAGCAGATATTTGTTTCCCGCTAGGAGTAGCCTCTGCCCCACGATCTCTATCAGGTAGTTCAACTTCTCCATTAACTTGCCGTGCCTTGGCAGCAGCCAGAGTGGCACTGATAGCCCGCGCTTCTGCAGCTGCTGCTTCAACCAAATACTCAACACCTTTGTTTGTCCTCCTGCGCAACAACGCACATCCAGCAACTCTTTGAATGATGACTATTATCTACTTAAATGAAAGCAAAAGACCAAATGCAGTGGCTGACTTACCTTGGTCCAGAAAGCATGGCATTCTCTGTGCTTATATCAGTGTACATGTCACCATTTACTGGAGGAGCAACTGGATTGCCCAGCACAACAGAACCATCAGGTGCTGCTTCAGGCATGGTTTGCCTAGTTCTTTCATCCACAAATCCGTATCTTCCAAGTGCCCGACCTGCTGGTACATTGGATGCAGCGGCTGCAGCTGCAGCATGGGAAGCTGCACTTGTTGTTTCAGCAGCAGCCAGATCTTCAGCAACAAGTAGGTCATCAAGCAACACCCCTATGCATAAATGCGTGTATCAAAATACAGTACTTATAGTGTTAGGATAAGAGGAGCTCATTGGAAAATCTTCAAAAAACTGTCAGCAAGATTTGAGTTTTTATAATCTGCTTCCAAGGAATACATCTCTATATCATCAACAATCCTCTTAATTGATCATTTACATTCAGAAAGAAAGCAAAATGACACCAGACCAGACTCCATTGCAGCCTGTTAATGTGTGTTCATACGTGAACCATCAGGTTAAGGGTTCAAGTCTGGCGGTTGCAATATAGAAAGGAAATGAACTAGTTCAGGACAAGATAAACAAGGACTGAGTCAAGGACCATAATTTCTGCTCACATTCTAACAAGTTAAGGATTATTATAAACCATCACTCCATGAAGGCATCTTGACCTGCTCTATGATGTGCATGTTTAAGCTTATTGGTTTCTCCATTTAATGCACTGAAACGCACATTACTCCAATTAAAGCCATGTAGGATATATAAAAAATTCTGCTTGAGCTTTAACAATGTGTCCATATCTTGTCGAATATACTCCACAGAATTCCATTTCAAAACCAATTGTGAAACGTTGAGTCAAAAATCCTCTAACAGGTGTACATCAGTTATCTTTCCAAAACATCCAGATAATTTTTGCTCATCACAACAGAATTCAACTATACAGCTATTTTGTAGTGTTGGCTCATGATGGCCAAAAGGCCAAAAGAAAACTTCAAAACAAAATGCAGCAATTATAATATAATAGGATCATCACATACCGCCACGTAAGCCGCCATAAATAAAAATCAAGTCACCAACTGCAGCAGCTGCATGCCGGCAACGCCTTGTTAACTCAACTGCAGCATCTCCACCAGCAGCATCAGCACTGTACCTGCCAGTTCTTGGACTGGTGACCACAGATTTTGTATCACACCAAACTCCTGCTGCAGTATCCAACACTATACATGGGAAAGCATGAGGTTATTGTTGGAATTCTGGGCAGAACCATCTATGAAGACAATATACGAATTAAAACAGTAGTAAGTACAATCTCATTAGTGGCACTTAGATCACTGGAACTGGATTTTAAATTGTCCCCTACCCAACCACCAAATTTGAGTTAAATAAAACTGACAGCTCAAATTGATGACAATGAAAATAGGATAAACGCAATTAAATGCAACTTGCGATGCGAAAGGGTAAAAAAAAAACCATGAAACCTTGTGGAATCAAATATAAGTTATTTGGCACAAATATTTCATAATTTTCAATTTCAGCTGTAAAGAGTCCTGAATCCTTTAGGAATTTCGCACATAGCACTCAGCTCAATAGCATCTCTCTCATAGTTATATGTACACCATATAGCAGGTAAAATCAGGCAACCTCAACCACCTAGGCTGACTAGATGGCTATGTTTTTGCATGCCTTCTTATCCTAAAACCCATTATTAAGAAATGGGGCTGAAACCATCTGATAAAATACTAGAGGTAAGAGTCCTAAAGATTGCAAACTCAGGATTTACCAGCAACACTTGATGAATCTTCTACCATTCGACCACCACCAAGTGCCCCTCCAGATACATGGAGCCTTGCATTTACAAAGACCTAAATTACAAAATTGAAGAGTGATTAATCTTCAAGGACAGAAGAAGTCAATCAAGAAACAATATATTCAAGCAAAAGAACCTACTGCTGCATGTTGATATCTTGGAGATGGCGAGACGCCAGGAGCAATTGCCCATTCCCAACGGCCATCTCTGTGTTTAGCAAGTCCATAAGCACTTGCAAGTGGCTGAAAAGGTCAAGAGGCAAGGACACAAGCTACACATTAAAAGAGGTTAACAAAATCTCACATCACAAACAAAAAAAGTGTCGCCATTACCAGAAACAAAGTAATTTCCATATGTTCTTCCCAAAATGAAAATTTCCAAATGAAATGAAGATTTTGGAAGAAATGAAGAAGGCCATGATTTTAAAACCATGAACTCCTTCATTGAAAAATATCATTGTTCCTGTAACATTGTTATTACCTAAGTAAAAGGCATGCAGGGAACATAAAGTTACACAATTCAGTCCATTCCAGGAAAAGTTGACTCAGAAGATAAGAAAAATTCCAAGCAATTAAAGAACAAATTTGAGAAACCACATTAATCAAAAGTTTCAAAACTTCAGAAACAAAAACCACACTGAATTGACTACTGGCTATAAGAGAATGCATATGACAGCTTTCCAAATACCAAAGACTAAGAGAATGCATATGACAAGTTTCCAAATCCCAGCAACCCCGACTGCACAACGCACCTTATTATGGAGGGAAAGAACAGCGAAACAAAAAAAAGTTTCTCACTCTTCCCTTAAAATGCTTACAAAACCTAGAAACTTGTTCTCTGCAATTCATCTTGTTCTCTCTGATATGTAGCAATACTAATTTGTTTATTTAGATTAATAAAATATATATCCACTATTGACCACTAGTGTAAATGTACAAATTTCTTCCAAAAGCTAATACAGTTATTGTCATTATTTGTGCAGAGGATTTTGTTTCCATTTTTAATTTCATGAATTAGAAAGATTAGCAACACCATGCAACTTGTTTGCCAGCAAAGTTCTAACAATTTGCATTCTGAGGTTGCATGACAAAGGACAAAAATCGGAGAACATCTCTTGAAGCAATCAATATGTAATAAACAAAGGAGCCAATTAAGAACTAAAAAATATTGTGACATGTATCTATTACCATATCAAGTTTTCAGCTTACCACACTGTTTGCATCCCTCCCACCACAAAGCAGAAGCAGACCATCTGAACGAGCACTTGCAGTTGCATACCTAGCCAAGTATAAAGGACAAGTGAGCTAGGCCTTCAGATATGATGAATGAACTACAAAATAAAAGGGAACTGAAAAAAGCCAACTAAACAAAATAGAAGAAGCCATTAGTGATATCAATTGATATTTCAAACATGTAAAATATGAAGCTCCAATTTCTAAACTGCAATCCATGTTACTAGTACTTGCAAATATTGTCACTGGCACATGGATATTCATTTCTATCTTTTTCTACCATGCTCTGTCTCCATCTCTCCTTCAACCATATGTTATCTTTCATTTTCCAAGAGAAAAGATTCAAGCTCAAATTAACATACTGAAAAGGAAACTGACAGAAAAGAAATCGCATTTTTTAAATCATTGAGTCAATTTGCAAAGAATGCATGAAATGGATATTGTCCATTATGAAATGATAGTAGCTGAATGCAACATTTCATCAATAGTTACCAACAGTAGAAATGTTAGGAGTTACAATTAGATAAGCCAAAACATCCACACAAACATGAAGTTAACGCTCAAGTTTTTCCATATATATAACATGGAAAGATTCTACAAGAACATTGTCAATAGGTGCATGAAAGCCAGGATCTTTCAGAAAATGGATTCCTATTTGAAGAGTGCATAACCGCATGGATAAGCTCGCGCATATTAAGTAGTAACAGTGTGTCTAAATCATTTATTACGTTTGCATGAAAGAGAGAGAGTTTTACATGCATGGTGGTGGGCCTTCCCCTTCTGGTTCTAGTTTACGCCATTCATAAGGCTTGGCAGCTGTGTCCAGGGCCCATACATCAGACAAAGGCCTTTTTCCTGAAAAGCATAAACCAAAAAATTTTAAAAATACATTGAAGATCTCGATGTGTGCACATATTCATGCTTGCAGCGATAACCAACGTGCTAAGTTTAACTCCATGTACAAAACATGAGGTTTAAGATTTGACTGTGAAGCCACTTACCATCATTCCCTCCAATTGCCATGAGATACCTTTGCCCCACCAAAGCCATCACATGCCCATATCGTGGGCCTGGTCCTGGGCCTTGAACAACCACTCTACATGAAATTAACATTCATATAGATCAAAATCACATACTAAATACAAGAGAATGAGCAAGCATTTGTAAGGACTCCAACCTATGCCACCGCGGCCGCTGCTGTGTTAGGTCAAGGACATGAAGATCCTCAGCAGACAAACCAGCTGGACCAATTCCACCCTGTGTTGAATGAAAAAATTCAAGTTATAACTGAACAGTTAAAATATAACAAAGTAAAAAATAACCATGATCTGGTAAAGATATGAACTTCAAAGATAATTTGTCATATGTTCACCTGAATTACTACCATAGTTCCCACAGCAGTTGCCACATGGGCAGCCCTTGGTGTGGGAGGTTCTCCAAATGGAGTAATCCTGAAAAAATCACTCTGTAGTTAATGATCCCCGTAACAGATAGGAGGAAGAAAGCAGTGTTTTTTAGTAGAATGGTTCGTGAAATGAAGATTTCCACATGCTAGGCTTACCTAGTCCATTTATTTGTTAATACATCATAACAGTGAACATCAGCGGTGGCGCCTGCTAGTCCTGCGTTTATAACAAATCATGAAGGTAATGAAAGTTCATGACACATGATCACTATGAGACTCGGTAGAGAAAAGATCCATTATCATGTGTTCATTCATTTCTTCTGGATGCAATTTCAGATCAATGCCAAGAATGGTTATCAGACTGACACAAAGAATGAAATGGCAACCATATGCTACTCGGAATCAAGAAAATTAGTACTGATTATAGGGATACCATAAGAGTTAGGATATCAAAACCAATACAGCAGGAAAACTAAATATCCATTCAACTAGACTTGTGCATTTTCAGATCACAAACTATAGGAAATACTTGTTAATTACCGTGAGTTAGGCATCAACTTAAAAGCTTCACATGCCATTCAAGACAACGACAAGATGAGCATCTTGAGCACAACACAGACTAAGGAAATAATTACACAAGCCTGTTGAGTTCTAACAACAGTAGAACTCAAATGCCGCTGGTATAGCAAAACTAAAATAAACAGTAAAATCAGTTCCACTCATGATTTTGCAGCTTCAATTTCTCAGTGAAAGAACAGCCAGGCCACTGGGAAGGTCAGAAACATAAAGAAATTTGCTTACTATTACCAGAAAGAATATGGACCACATATCACCTAAAACAACTTCATAACCAATAGCAGAAAAAATTAGTTCAATCTCACCAAAATGGAAAACAAACCACGCAAAATACCACATCTAAATAGCACTGAATTAAAACAACCCTGGAGTTCACATAACCACCTAATCCTAATGCCAGTTCCTTCCCATTTAACCACAATTCAGTAAGCTATGGCCAAGTTCTTAATAAACCTAGTAATCAAACAAGCAAAAGATTATTAACTTAGCACGAAAAAATCAAACAACCAAAGAAATTAAAACCACCGATATAAAAAATAAAACCAAAAACATACTGATTCCAGCACTCCCAGCAGAAGAAGGAGTCCCAGTAGAGGCAGAATTTCCCCCAAGTGCCGTGGCACCACCAAACAAGATCAACCTTGGTCCAATATACCCAGGCGTCCCTTCTTCTCCGACAGCAGCCACATTAGTCAAGGTATGCCCACACCTAGGCCCAGGCCCATCCTCTTTCTTATCCATATTCGCATTCACCACCGAATAAGTGGGCGCATGTCTCGGCCCCGCCACCGGACTCTGCTGTTGTGCCTGCGCTACTTGCTGCGGGGCCGTTGTAGTGGTACTAGAACCCGTAACCGCCGCCGTTGACGTATCCTGAGATCCTGCCGGCTGCTGCGACTGCTCCCCTATCTGTTCCCCGTCCATTTCTGTTGGCGCCGAATTAGCGCTCTGCACCGCCGGATCGTGATCGGTCGCCGCCATCGACGCGTCCAAGTCCATTTCTCAATCTACCAAGCCCTAATTTCAAGATCGGAGCTAAAATTCAAACGAATTCAAATCTCTAATTAACATTCTTGAAAGATTCACTTCGATTGTATTTAGACTTTATCAATTCAAAACCCTAGCTCAAGATCGCTGATTTTCAGTTTTCAGTGAAAAATTTTAAAATAGAAAGGAGAGAGAGAGTTATTGAATTTTCTTTTCTTTTTCTTCGATTAGGTTTTCTCGCTTTTCTTTCTCTCTCTAACGTCGAGCCGGTCGAGAAAACAAAATGAACAGGAAGAAATTATAAAATAAAAATAAAAATAAAAACGGAACGGAAACAGTTTAGTCTTTCTCTCTCTAAAAACTGTATGTACGTGTGTTGGCATCTATCTTCGTTTCTCTCTCGGTCAGAAACAAATGCTTGTTGTCGCTTTGAGTAAATTGTTGATTTAGTCCCTATTTTCTGAAAACTATTATAAGTTAATCCTTTATTTTTAAAATCTATAATTTGTCTCTTGGTTTTAGTTCTCGTTTATTAATTATTAAAAAGTTGAAGAAATTACTTAATGCTTATTTGAATATGCAAGCGCGGCTGTTATTGCATTTTTGTTCTCGAACTAAAAATATTAATTTTAATATTTTTAATTTGAAAACATGAGTGAATGCAACTCTAGTTGCACTGTCTTTTTAAAAAATATTAATTATAAGTTGTTATAGTATCTTTTTATTTAATCCGTTAATAATTATTCATAATGAATTTTATATTTTACATGAATAGGAGTATAATCCACTTGAGTAATAATTTTTTTACTAAAAATATATTAATATATGTTTGATGATTTAATTGAAAGTGTATTTACATAGTGTTTTCCCTTAAAAAAGATAGTAAATCGATTCTTCTTTAGATTTTTCTAATAATTCTAATGTCTTTACATAAAAACAATCAAAAACATTTATTAAAAAATAGTACTTTTTAACAATAAAAAAAATTAAAATGTTTTTTCAATGTATTGCTTGACATATTGTAAAAGGTTTTTTATTATTATTTATCTTTTATTAGAAGAAAATGTCAAGAGGGCATACTTTAAATTTACAAGAAGAAAAAAAAGTAAAGAATGACAAACATTTTATGTCAGGACAGCGGTCAACATGAGTAAAGGGGTTGGATTATAGGTTTTCAAACATGAAGGACTAAATTGTATTGATTCCAAAAAACAAGGACTGAAGAATAGTTTACTCCTTTTATTTTAGTTTATTTAATGATTAGTTAATTTCTGTTTCGGGGTTTATTTTATCTGGAAAATGACAGGAGAGGTGATTGATTCTGGTGCCTGTTACCGTTATTAGCCTGTTAAGGTGTGTACGGAAAGGAGGAGGAGCGCCGTCAGGTGGGGGGTTGACAGCGGAGAAAGGGACGGAGTTACCGAAGTAGCAGGGAGAGGATTTAACTATTAACGGCAATAACCGGTTCCTATTTGCAAGGAGTTTTGCTTGAGTTGCCATCTAATTGTGGGAGTAACAAAAGAATCACACTCGAGAGTGAGAGCACGTGATCACGCGCACGTTAGATTATGCATGCCATTTGTACATCTTAGCTATGGAATGTTTAAGTTGCGACATGCATGTGCTGGTTTCTATAAGTGCGCTACTATCTAAATATGATAATTGTCACGGACAACTTCGAGATTCTATTGTTTTAAAACCCAAAACCTCGTACGTCAACATGAGATCAGTTAGTGCGAGGCATGAGCTTATTCAGGTAGGTTGAAGGGAAAAAAAAAAAAAAACTTAGTTAATCTGCTTAATAATTCATGTTGAACCGGTGATATAGTGAACCCAAACATTATCTTTGTAACTTTTTTTATTCTTTTTTAAAAACAATAATTCTCTAATTTTTTAAAAAATTCAGGTTGATCTAGGTTTTATCCTATTAACCTAGAGCTATAATTTTTTAAATAAAAAAATAATTTTTTAATAAATATTTGATATTATATATTATATAGACATATGTTATGTAAAAAAATTAATTTAAAATACATATATCGACACAAGTCAAGCAAAATTAATTTATGAATTTTTAAAATAAAAAAATTTATATTATAATTATTATCTTCAATATTTTATATTTTAAAACTGTTTTATAATGATTTTATTTTTAATCTCATTAAAAATATCATTTTTCATATATGTAATAAACTTTTATTTATTTATTTGTAAATCTTTCAAAGACTACGGAAGTTTTTGATAACAATTCTATGCCAACATATGATACATAGTATATAAAATCACAGCTTAAAAGAATTGTCATAAATTGATATTATTTTTATAGGCTTGTTATTTTGTACAAGTAAATTAAATATAAATATTAAATATTTTTTTATAATTTATTTATTATGTATCTAATTTTTTAAGCTGTCATATACTTCACTTTTAATTACTGATAAATTTATCATCATCATTTTTTATATGAAATTCATAATAAAATATTTATTAATTTATCAAAACTCATTTTAATTCATATTAATTAAGATATAATATTACTCATATGTATGTTAATTCAACAAACCAGTAAATTATTATAAAATTTAATATTTTAAATAACTAATTAATAATAAATAAAAAAAGCTAACAATTTGTAGCTCATAGAGAAAATTAATCATGTAAAGTTATTATATTAATATTTTAATATAAAAATATTTCAAAAAAAAGAGAAAATTGCCCCTCTCCTGCACTACGTGGCCCCACCACTAGTTGACTTTTCAAGTTGAATTTCAGAATCATAAAAAAAATCAATAAAAAATTAAATAACTAAGTTATTGCGTGTTGTTTTTATTAAAATAATTGTAATTTTAATTATTTTTTCTTGATGTTATTGAAGATGTCGAGTTTAAATTAAATTGAATCAAGTAGCCATATTATTAAAAAACTAGTTGGGTTAATAAAATTTCATCAAATTATTATTTTGTTTGGTTAATTAAAAATCTAATTAGAATCAAGTTTTTAATGGATGCTGCATAACTTCAGACAACTATAATACATAATATGTTGAAGTTTTTATGATATTTGTTAATTGTGGAGTTTTTTCTATTTGCAGAAGAATTGAGTAAAACAAACATTAGCTTAAAAAATCTACTTTAACTAGATTTCCAGTAGGTGATTACATGCCTATTAATTATTATTATTATTATTATTAAAAGAAATGAACTAAATTCTCACAAAACACTACTATGTAATGGGTTTTTTTTTCCTTAGGTTTTTTTGTTTTCTAGAGGCATGTTTTTTTTTTTAAAAAAAATACCCTCTAATATTTAGTTTATTAAAAATTAAATTTTATAATTTATTAAATTTAATTTTTATATAATTATTTCAGTCTTTAAACATATGTCGCAAATCTGGCATACTAACCCAATTAATTAATTTTTTTTAATTAATATTTTTTTAATTTTATCTATCGACATTGAGTTTATTGGGAATTAGACTTCATAATTTGTTTCAGTTTATTTTCTATAATATTATCTCAATCTTATGACATAGGTTATAGGTTTTGCACGCTATCCTGGTTAGACTCGGATTGTTTTTTTTCATATTGATTTTTTTTTTTAATTTTATCCTTCAACAATTGATTTATCATGAATCGTGTTTTATAATTTGTTTTGATTTTCTTTATATGATATTTTTTCAATCTCATGACCTGATTTGTGAGTTTAATATGTTAACTTGTGTTATTTTTTAATTTTTTATGAAGTTATCTTGGTCTCATGATTCGGGTTATGGGTTAACAAGTTAACTTAAGTTAACTCGAGTTATTTTTTTTGTGTTTTTTATTTATCTTTTTACTTCATCATTCAACATTTGATTGATTAAAAATTACATTTCATAATTGTTTTTAATTTACTTGATATGAGGTTATCTTGGTCTAATGATTAAGTCGCAAGTTTGACTAGTTTACTCAAGTTGACTTTGATTATTTGTCATGGTTTTTTTTTAATTAATTTTTTTCAAAATAAATCATTCAACATTAAATTAATTGAAAATTGAGTTTCATAATTTATTTTAATTTATTTTATATAAGGTTATTGTGGTCTCATGTCCTGAAACATGGATTTGGTAGATGCACTAACGTCAATCTAATACGTTGTCATCTTATTTTTTAAAAAATAATTATATTGAATTTTTATCAATCAAACTATATTTTTATCAATAATATAAGTTGTCTATAGACTCACCAAATAAATCAAACTATATTGAATTAATTTTGTATAATTTAATTTTTTTATTAAAAAAATATTAAAAATACCTAAATATTTTTTTATATTAAAATTTTTTTAACTCGCTACACAGTGCCCCCTAAGGATTTAGTGTATAATCTATATTTCGCAAGTAGGTTGTTAATAACGAAATCTACAAATTAATGTCTAGCAGCATACCAAATAGCATATAGGAATATATATCATTAATTATTTATATAAGGTGAGCTAAATGCATATGGTAATTATCACGCGAAACCACGCACAATCGTATGAGAATGAAATTCACAAATCATGTAAAACAAACATAGATAAATTGACTAAAACTTATAGTTAAAAGGTAGCAATAATTCACCTCAAACCAATAAATCATTGTGGTCGGAACCTACCGGTAACCAACTCGGAAAAGAGCCTTAGTTATAAGGTTATCAAATCTTCTCTTCTCATATTCCTCGTGTTTAAAATAATATTTTTTTATATTACTCTAAATAAATTTTAATTAAATTTATTCAAGTTAATCAAATTATTAAAAACTCATCAGGTTAATTAGATTTTACAAGATCAATATTAAAACTAATTTAACTTGAAATTTAATACGAGTAAAGCTCTAGATATTAAATTTTTTAAATAAACTCATTGAATTTAATAATTCTTTAATAAATAACAACAAAAATAATATATAAAAAAAGCAAAAATTCATATAAAAAATAAAATAGATAATAATAACAATTTGAGAGGGATGTTATCAATGAAAACGTATAGTAACAAAAGCTGAACTACATGTGCAAATTGTTGTAGAAATGAACGGTGCATTCCCACTTTGACCCTTCAAAAAAGGTATATTGACCTAGCAAACAAGGGGTAATTCAATCTTTTCACAGGAACACATTAATCATCGACAAATTGATTGGGAACAAACCTAACTTTTGACTTCTGTTATTAATAGTTAAATGACTTAATGAGCCCTGTATGCCAAAAAAAAATTAAAATGCATC